AGATATTTAAGAACAATTAACAGAATGAGACCAGAAGGAAGAAAAATTTATTACATGTATGAGACATGGTTGAATGCTGGAGATACGCAAGACAAAGTGTTTAATGATACGTCCATTATCTCGTCAAAACAAGCGCATTTATCTGGTCTGTCTACAGCAGAGGTTCCCAAACTTTTTTTTCTCGTGGACCACTTTCAAAGTTTTACTATTTTCGGTAGACCCCCTGCTGCTACATTTTTACTGTATTCCCCAAATCCTAAAAAATAACACCCTAAATTGAGGGTGTTAAGAAGAAAAAAAAGTAGCACATTTTCTTGTGTCCTATTTATTAAAATAGTACTTGTGGTTATACAAAATTATAAACATTTATTATTACAAACAATCAACAATTGACAAAAAATCAACAATGAACTCTGAAATGTAAATCAACAATAAAAAATAGTCATACTTTTGATGAAACGGTTGGTAACGGCACTAAAACTTCTTTCGATAAGATATGACGAGGGAAACGCTATCAAAAATTTTCTCGCAATTTCCCACAGCCCAGAATATTTTTCGGGGATTTCTGCCCTCAGCCAAAATGTTTGATAGCCTTTCTTAAATTGTACCTTTAGTTCCTCGTTGGTGCTGAGCTCAAGTAGCTCCTCTTGTAATACCACATTCGCCTCTTCCGTTTCATCAAATGGGGTTATGATCCATGGTGGTATTTCCTTCGTCAGAATATCTTCAAATCTATTTTTGAAGACATCATGCAAGGTATTTAAATAATGAGCGTATGTCTGAATATCCTCATCAAGACATTCTATCTGTGACAAGTGCAGAAACTGGGAAAATTCGTGCCGTTAACGTCATTGAATTTTATGAACAAATCTGTTAAGTACGAATGTCCGTTTTATATTTGATCAGATTTTCTTTTAAATCTGGTGCTTTAGTTTCCAGACACTCTATCGCTGATTCGAAAAGTGAGTAAAATCTAGATAAGCATGCACCTTTCGACAACTAGTGTATTAAGAGCAGTCGTTGGAAATCTTCATCATTTTCATCGCACAATAGTGCAAATAAACGGGTATTCAAATCATTGCTTCTTATTTTATTAACTACGTTAATCACAAATTGAAGGGATTGGTGCAATCTATCTCTCAAATTTTTCGCTACAAGGTGTTGTCGGTGGATGACACAGGGAATTGCAATTAGTCCTGGTATTATTCTTTTAAAACCCACGATATCTCCCGAACATGGCAGGATCTCCATCTGCTGCCACCGAAATAACGTTTGTAAATGGAATAGATTTTCCTGTAAAAAAATCACTCCAGGGCATTAAATATCGATTCGCCTTTAGTGTCCGACTTCAAAGTTTTTGCGAATAGCAGCTCTTCATGGATTTCTTCGTCCATAACAAATCGAACATATGCCAATAATAATGCTTCATTAGACTCGTCCAATTGAATAGAAAAATGAGTGGTTTGCAGATAATGACACAAGAGGCTTTCTATATCAGAGCTCATTTCATCAATACGTCTTTGTACAGTGTTTTTATTTAAAGGAATTCTTTTGAGTACGTCAAATGGAGGTTTGTGTAAGTTGGGATGAAGGTCGTCAAATGGAGGTTGTCACACTTTTATGTTCAAAATCCCGGAAACAAATAAGTAACGTTTTGCTCTTGGCATTCGTATTCATACTAATGTAGATTGCAAGCACAGCGTAAGTTGTACTTCATCCCTTTGCAGGTCTAAACAAGCATCCCGGACGAGCGGGCACACGGGCTGCGCTTTGCAAGTCTCGACATGTGGTGTACACTTGTACTATTATATTTAGTTCTAATCAATTCTGTGTTTGAACTGAGACTCGAATATTTTTGATTATCTACCTAGTGAATGATGCTACCTGCCTACGTTGATAGATAAATTCAAGTCAAAATTTTTGCTCTTTATTATGAAAACCAGAAAATTTTTCGTGGACCCCCACTTACAATTTGTGAACTCATGTTTTCTTTTCACGTCTGCGTGGACCCCCATGTGGTCTCTTATGGACATCTGGGGGTTCATCTGGACTACTGGACGATGCAGGCTTTTTAAAAGAAGGACTTCTACTTTTTAAATCGAACAAAAACAAGGATTGCCTTAAGAATATGAATGTAGCTTGTTTCGAAGAATGGTTCGAGAAAATTCCACCCTTTCTTGAGCTGAACTTTGTCATTGTGATGGACAATGCACCATATCACTTTCGTAAAGAATAAAAATTCCTAACACATCATCGATGAAGCAAGTAATTAAAGACAGGCTAAAATCTAAAAACATTGTTAGTCATGAAGAAGGTATGCTAAAAACAGAACAACTGGAAATAGTGAAGGCTCATAAGCACAGATTTGACAAATTCGCGGTGGATGAACCTGCTAGACCCAATAATCTAATGATTTTAAGGCTTCATCCCTATCACACTGAATTGAATCCAATTGAGCTGATTTGGGCCCAAATGAAAGATTCATTGGCCAAAGAAAACAAAACTTTCAAGTTATTGGAAGTAGAAGGATTGTGCATGAGAAGTTTAAATGAAATTGGAGTTGAAAAGTGGAAAAATTACATTGAGCATACTCAGAAAATCGAAAAAGTGATGTGGGATTTGGACGAAGCCATCGAAAACACTGTTAATTCTCTAGTAATAAATATCAATTCAAACGACGAGGATTCTACAAGTTCTGAGAGTGAATCCTGAGATAAGTACCTAGTTTCATTTTTACTTTTTAAAACCGCTGTGGCTGAGATCCGGATCAACCAAATGCTGGTGCTTGTGGAACCAAATGCTGGATGCTTGGTATCTTTTGTATGTTGCTATCCGTATTGCTCTCGAACAACTTTTTTGTTTTATTGAGTCTTTTTCAAATGTAGTTATCCTTTCAGATTCGAAGGCAGCGCTTTGCCAACACCTCCTAGAAGTAGGAAGGCCTCAGCATGGATCAATTTAGTAGTTCAATGTGACGAAGTTAACTGCCCAGTAGATGAAAAATAAGAAAGACGTCATTACGTTCGGGGTACAAAGCTGAGCAGTGGTTGAAAATACGAAATATGTCATTACCTTTGGACTAGTAAAGGATATTTATGGTGACCCGTGCTGAGACCTGCTCTTTTCTAGGAGGTGTTGGCTTTGCTCGATTGAATCTATGCACTACCCTTCCACTTGCGACGTTCTAAAATGTCAGGATGCGATGCGTAAACTCTACCAATTTGGTAAAACTGTAGTGCTACAATGGATTCCCGGGCACTGTGATAATGAGAAGGTTGATGCTTTGGCAAAGAGAGGCACAAGAATTTCCATCACCAATTATCAGAAAGGGTAAAAACCAAAGTGTGGAGAGATCTTCGACAGAACACCATTCCAGACTGGCCTCGCCACAAAGCGGTTGCTCAATTTCGACTATATACCAGACATGACTGCCTAGCCGCGCACCTGCTTCCTGGCACCTGATCCCTATTGTTCTCTGTGCAAGAGCCAAGCTGTTTTGGATGGCCACCCCATCCTGTGCTGTAGGGCCCTCCGCGGGTCGTCTACCGAGCGATATTGAGAAGCAGGAGCGCTCCTGAGGAAATGACTTTTTGCTTTCTTGTTTTGTTCCTGTGTTTTCACTTTTTAACATGTCAATTCACCTCTGCAATTTGAAATAAATAAAATTTTTACTTTTTAATGATATAATTAATCGTTATTATCCATGATTAATTCATCGTTAATACGGTAATTCTTAAAATTTTGTTCTTTTCATTCAAATTTAAATGTTACGTAAAATTAAATAGTTTTGACACTTCATTCTATTTTCAAAAACCTATTGAATTCGAGGTTTACAGACTGCTTTTTTTTATAGGTTAAGTGGTTATATTTTTCTTAACAAAAGATTTTGTGAGACATTTCCAAGTTTCAAATTTCCAAAAAATTCCAAGTTTCTTTTAGTGTAATTATTTTCTTAATACTTCCCTTAGAAAAATAAAGATATAGTTTAAAAATACAAAAAAATGCAGTTCTTTCAAATATATTTTTAAATCAATCGGGGAAACATAAAACTATTTTAAATATTATTTAATTTTTAATAATTTTTTAAAAAATTGTAATTATGAAAATAAAGAGTATTTTTTTAACATATTTTTTCAATTCCGTACGACATTTACGATGGAATTATAAAAGTTATATTTTTTATAGATATTTATGCAAAATATATAAAAACTAATTTAGTTTAAACTTTTAAAAAAATACATTAAAACTATTCTCAAAATAAAATTATGTGTTTACTGAAACAGTTGAAAACGTATTTTCATGTAAATATTTTAATTTTGCACTTTCTTATCGAATTTAAAGGTATCAAAAACCGAACATCGTTTTCGTTTTTCTATAAAAGCGAAAGCTCTGTCGATCAAACGAAATTGCCAATTCAGCGAAGAAACCGTTGAAGTGGTAAACGTTGGCGAACAAACATCAACCCTTATGTTTACTTCTACTATCAGTTCTCGTTGAACAGACTATATAGTTGTTACGAACTGCAACCGTAACTCCTTATGCTGTCGAACTGTAACCGTAATTGCCTACGCTGAGGCAGATATGTATATGTACTCAGGCAAGGAAGTCGAACTTTCTCATCATCACTGAACTTGTAGACATTTCATTCATATTTCATTTTCATCGTCATGATTTGTTAATTAGAACAATAAAATGTTCTATTGTTATTCAAATTGGCTGTCGTCATTAGATATTTACCATTAGGTATATTGACGCCAACCCCGGACCTATATATAGAAAAGGTTGGTCGTACTGCTTATACATATAGAACATAGCAAGGTAAGTGATACCTTTCAATGATTCATTTTTGGAAGTTCGTAGTGGGACCTTCAATCAAAAGTAACAATAGTATTGTCGCTATTTTATAGTATTGTCTCTATGTAAGTACTTCGCAAGTTTTTGGAATTCCCATGTTCGCGATACTACGTGAATCTCTCGAATTATAATAAATTCCTGCTTACTTTGTATGTGATGAAAGCATTTATTAGAACGATGCATGCATTGTATGTGATCAATATCTTGTTCAGTTTGAATGGCTTCCGGCCTCTCATGAGTCGGGGACCCACGTATGTCACGAATACCACATAGCCACACACTATGGATATTATAGTGTAGAAGCTCCCAATCTTTTCAAGGTTATCTGGATCTATAGCGTTAAATAAAAAGACTGTTATTCAACTCACTGATACAGACAATGAATTAAAAAATAACTTTTGGTCTAATGATGGGATATCCACGTCCTAGGACTCTGTCGTAATGGTTCGAAAGGGGGTGATCTTTATATGCTAATTAATTAATTGCAAATGATATTTTAAGTTACGAAATCGGGTACAAAAGGTTACTTTCGCTAAATAAACATTCGGATTTCTGATCCAGAATGTGGGAAATAGGGTTCAATGAGGAGTGCAAGTTTGGACCTCTTAATTTCAATATTTGCTTATTTTGTCATAACTCGAGAAATGCTTAAGCGAGTTGAAAGTTTCTTGTATTCAATTATAAATTAATATATCCAATGATGACTCTCGCAGAAAGTAACTTTTAATAAATATTTATTATTTTTTATTACTTTAATAATAGTGAATTAAAACTTTTGAATAGTAATCTGTAAAATTTTTTACACATCATTTTAAAGAATGTTGTAGTATATGACAAAATGCAAAATTTAGTGAAATCGGTCGAATAGTTCCTGAGAAATCGAATTTTAAAAAAGTTGTGTTTTTAATGTATTTATCCTTCATATATTTACTAAGCAAATAAAGTTCTTATATTATCAAGTGATACATCTATCCGCTTCAGTTTCTTAGAATTATTCACTTAATAATATAGTGTCACAAAATCGATGAAATTTCTTTTCTCGCATTGGCAACGGAAAGCTTAAACAAGCTGAGCTTCAAATTGGGCAGAATAAAATTTAAAAAGTAAACAGTTCCTGATCTATAGTTTTGTTTCAGTTACAAGTTGTGTTTTTCCAACGCAGATCAGCCGAAAATGGGCTGCTCATTGATTCAACCGAAATTTTTCTTTTAACTCTGGTATAGTACCTCTATTTTTATCTACTTTGTTATTATACTTACTTTTCATTTTCACATCCTTTTCATTAGTTTTTTGCATTTTAAAATTAAGGGACTTAAAAATTTTCTGTTTTCAAACATTAATTGCTTACATTGAAAAATTCTATAAGTTATTTATTTATTTATTTTACATAAGTTAAGTCTAAATAACTTTGAAATGTATCTGTCAATTTAGCATCCTAATATAGGGTTGCTTTTCATAATAAACTATCTTATTACAAACGAAATACCAACTTTGAACAGCCGACCCATTGCTTGGTTTGCGTCTTTCAACGTTCGACTCCGTGGCCTTGTGTAGAACCCAACCTACAAGACGAGGTAACTCTCGAACCAAGCACTTTGGAACCTACTTAACTTCACACTGGAGATTTTGATTTAACTAACCTACAATTGTAGGAAACTATGAGAACCTCTTGCGGTTAGCCCAAGACAATAGAATTTGAATCTATCTATCACTTGATATGAGAGGGCCGGAAATAGAATTTGCATTCATCAGCCGTCGCTGGGATTCGAACTTGAGTCATCTCTTAGGGATTGATTGACAGACGTGCTTTTTCTGGAGAATGGAAGTCTAAAATAGAAGATAACCTCTGCCGGAGGGGGGGAGATAAACTTTCGGAAATCAAGTTCAGTATCCTTTAATACATACTATCAAAAAGATTGAGACGTTTATTTTTTAAATTTTTTGTTGATCTTTCTCACGACATTTGAATGTTTCACACACTGATGGAATGCTACAAAAAGTCGCTCACTTGGCACACAGTGAAAAGAACTCTTAACAATATATTATTTATTTTTTTAAAAAAATGTGGGGAAATACTTGCCTTCATTGAAGAAAAAATCTTTCAAACCTTGAAAACTGACCATTCTGACGTTGATGGATTATCATAAAAACTTTAATGCTCTAAAAACATTAAGTACAATATATTTATACAATTGAAATTTAAGAACAATAACAAATAAAGCTTTGAAAATAAATTTCCAAAGTTCCAACTTTCAAAAAATTATTTACTATCTTTAATTCATACCCTTCAAATCCAAGGCTTCAAAACCCTCTAATCCAAATCATAAACCTCTTCGTACTTCACCTTAAATTTTAGGTTAGTTTTGGATTTTTCATTTTTTTCCTGTTTTCAATAAACATTTGATAAATAGAACGTCATTTGTCATTTACTATACTTTAAAAAAAAAATCGAAAATGGCAAGAAAATCGTTTAACATTAAAAAATTCCATGGTTTTTTCTTTTTTTAGCGGATAAAGCTATAAATTATGGAGTTAATCATTTTGATCGAACTCATTATTACTATACACTTGCCGGTTTTTAAATTTATTTTTAAATGGATTTTCAATATTGCTTAAACTAATGAAAACCTGTTTGAAACGATTCAAAATAAATTTTAGAATAAAATAAATAATTTACAATTTTAAATTAAAGTATTAACATCATAATAGGAAGCATTTAAGGCACTACTGGCAATGTATGATATAAATGTGAAAACATAAAATGATCGTAATATTTAAAAACAGTGTTCAAATGAATTTACCTGATCCTTCGTTCCAGAAGGATCTCCAGGATCGTGTGGTCTAATGGTGCACACAGGATATGAATTGAAGAGAGAGGATTGAAGAGACTCCTTTTAGGAAATTTTAAGAAACTTTATTTTTTTCTTCTTATCACGGGTTCTTGGATGCAGGTGGCTCCGGACAGGTGGTGTTAACACATACGGGATCTCGTGGGGAAAAACTCACATCTTAGACAAAATTGATAACATTCATTTCGAAGGAAGATGGATTCCAGTTCTTAAAAAATAAAAAATCATCTGAGTTGTGCCGCATGCACAACATGGCTGCAGAAATCACACCAAATCATTGGCGACAGGAACACGTGCCAGGACTTGTTTACTTTATATTAATGGAATGTGGTCGAGTCTTGAAATTAATCGATTAGATTTTTTTTAACAAAATGAGTCTCCATACTTGTTTCTTGTAAAAAAAAGGGGGACAATCGCTGAGCAGGAAGGCCGTCGCCTTGAAGTTATTAAAAAATGAGAGCAATGCTTCTCTCTCACGGTAGCTTCCTCGACTGACGCCAAGGAGGCACGCGGAAAGGAGCAAAGTGATATACGGTTAAAGTTAGGGTGGGGATAATCGATAAGAAAAAATTAGTTGATCAAGCTAAATGTAGGGAAAGGCTATTGCGGTTAAACGAACGAAAACTGAAAATACTATTGAGGAGTAGAAAAACAACGCACGTGTGATGTAGCAACATCACACTATCCCCCTTAGGAAGAGAAAAAAAACTTACCTGACATGTTAAAATAAAATCGATCGATAAAACCAATTACTTAAAGTGAGTGAGGACCGCGAGGAGCCAACAACATCCTTTGAACCTGCCAAAACAAAGAATACAAAAGGCAGTATTGTTGACAAAAGCAACATAGCAACAAAATTATCAAACACAAACAATGTGTAGTTCTTGGCTACATAAAACCTGAGTTCCATATCACATGCAAAATATTATTAAATGCAGAATATTATAACTGCAAAATTACCAAAATTAATTATCAAATCCATTTGTTCATACATTTGTTACTTAATCTACATAACTGTGTTAAAATTGTCACATAAATTTCAGCTTCTTTTTTTATTATTATTATTATTATTATTATTATTCTTACTTTGGCCTTACATAATACTGTAGAAAGCTGCATAAAACTACTTACAATTTTTGTACAATAATTTGTACCTTGTTTTGTGAAAATATCAGCCAAAAAGAAAATCCCTTTTGTCAGAAAGTAAAACATCAACACCATACCTTTTCCAAATCTTTAACACAAAGTAACATAATGCTGTACATAAATTACATATTTACATATATACAAAAGGAAAAAATGGAAAAAAAGGCATGCATTATCACATGGCTTTATAACATTACAAAGCTTAAGTACTGAAATTGGATAATTGTATATCAACATATTATACCTTAGAAATTTGGGTGGTGAACTGCTTACCTACTCAAACAAACATATACATGCTAAATTTTTAAATACATTTTGCTAGCATCTATAAACATGACATAAAATTTATATTATTACAAGTTCAACATACTAAATTGAGTTAAAATGAAAAGGCTTAAAATTGATATATATATATATATATATATATATTAAAATGATCTATATTAAAATTGATATAGCTGATACACCTTGAAAAAGTATAAATATATTAACTTTAAAAGGTTAAATCTAGCAAACATTAGCTTAACCATTAAAATAAACACCACAAAAGCTTTTCAGCTGAAGAAACCGATCGTATTTCCTCCAATAAAAAACTACTCAACCGAAAGAAAGTATGCCAGCATACTCACTTTAGAATGAGGTAGTACAAATGATTCCCAGGTAAAGCTAAGTCGAAAGACTGGAAAAATTACCTTTGCCTAAGTCTTAAAGAGTAATGATAAGGAGCAGTGCTCACAACAGGATTTTGATCAGATACAACTAAATGAGGGAGTCTTGGTAAACAAATCCTTAAACGGCTAATATTAACTTTAAATGCATCTTGCACTGGGGAATTTAATCTCTTAATTGAGACATGGATGTCATTATGAACTTCAGTTATAATAAATGGGCCCAAAAATTTAGGTTCAAACGTACTTCCAGAATGTAAATAAACAATATCCTTAACATTAAACATCCTATGTTTTGCTTTCTTAAGCTGAATTTCATTTTGTCGTTGTTGTTTTTCCACATTACCAAAAGTTTGTTTATATATAATATTTAAATCATCCAAAAGGTTTTTGACATATTGGGTTTTATCTAACTGCTGAGGCTGAATTTTAGGGTCAAAGGTATCAAAAATTAAACTTAATTCTCTTCCAAAATGCAAAAGATTAGGGGTAAAATTGGTAGATGGATGTATAATACCATTATACTAATTTTGATGAATTAGTATGGAATTTTTAAATGACACACCTGCTTCATTTAAGGTAATTAAGGATGTCTTAATAGACAGATTAATTCTTTCTGTCGCACCATCATATTTCGGATTTTTGGGAGTAGTATGGGCCACATGAACACCAAGTGCTTTATTTACACAATGAAAANTATATATCAATTTTAAGCCTTTATCTATATATATAAAAATCTCTTGTCACAGTTTTAGTGGTTAAACTCCTCCGAAGCGGCTTGACCGATTTTGATGAAATTTTATATGTATATTCAGTAGGTCTGAGAATAGGTTTATAACTAATTTTTTTTCATTTTTTGGACAGATTTAACGTATATTTTAAATATATCTTTATTTCATCGTATTCGGATCCAAGCTAGACATAGAAACATAACAATTAAAAAACAATATTCACACACGTTGCAACAAGTCATATTAAACTCTAATACTTATGCTCGCCCTTAAAAGAAGAACATCAAATATATTTGCAGGTATGGCAGTATTTCGAGTTCAAAATACCAATGTGACTGCTCTTCCAGTGAATAACAACGACGAAATAACGCTGTACCAAATTGGCCGGTGCATCAGCTCCAATGAAGCTGTTTGGCGCATCTTTGGATTCCCAATTCATGAACGGGATCCAACCGTTATTCATTTAGCCGTCCATCTTGAAAACGGTCAGAGCGTATATTTCACGAACGAGACAGCGATTGACAGAGCTCTAAATCCACCAAAAACTACACTCACAGAATTTTTTTTAATTGTGTAATCGTGCGGATGCTTTTGGCGCCTTTGCACGGACATTACTCTACTCAGAAGTACCACACTATTTCACATGGTCTCAAACAAAAAAAATGGATACCCCGCAAGCAAGGCACGCCGGTTGATGCCTGTCCCGGTTTTTTGGAATCAAACGCCTTGGGGAAAGAATTTAAAGTCAATACAAGGCAGATTGAGTGCTTTTATTTTCGACTGTTGTTGGTTAATGTCACCGACTCATTGTCATTTCAAGATATACGTGAAGTCAATGGACATCAGCATCCAACGTATTAAAATGCATGCCTTGCACTCGGCTTGCTGGAAGACGACAACCAGTGGGAATGTAGGCTTGCTGAAGCAGCATTGAACTGTACTGCAAATCAAATTCGTCTACTATTCGCTATAGTATTCGCTTTCCCGGCCCGAATAGAAACGTTATGGGATAATCCCAAAGATTCGATGACTGTTGATATACGGTACAAACATCGCACACGTTGCAACGATCTAACGATAGCATTCAGCGATTGTATGTACAATGAAGCACTGATTGCTATGGAGGATCTTTGTATTATTATTGCCCATTTGCCACATAGTCATTTCGGTATGCCTTCGTTGATTTATTAAATACTGACGTGAATCGTGAACTTCAATACAATACGATAGAAATGGCAGCGATTGTTACTCACAATGTTCCACTGATGAATGAGGAACAAAGAAATATTTATGACCGCATTGTGCTCGCAGTTTCGGCAGGTTAAGGTTTTTGGGTGAAAAAGATGGAACTGGCAAAACTTTTATTATTTCACTAATTCTCGCTGAAATACGATCAAATAATGGCATCGTGTTGGCCGTTGCATCATCTGGCATTGCGGCAACTTTATTGGATGGAGGCAGAACAGCTCATTCAGTATTTAAGCTGCCACTGAATATTCAAAACAACCCAGACGCAGTGTGCAACATAAAAAAGCAATCGTCTATGCCCTCAGTGTTGAAACACTGTAAAATTATCATCTGGGATGAATGCACTATGGCACACAAACATTCTCTTGAAGCGTTGAACAGGACATTGAAAGATATAAAAAACAATGACAAATTATTTGGCGGCACTCTGTTACTCCTTTCAGGTGATTTCAGACAAACACTCCGCGTCATTCCGCGTTCAACGTACGCTGATGAGATCAATGCTTGCTTGAAATCATCTCTACTGTGGCGTAATGTTGAAAAAGTTCAACTAAAAGTAAATTTGCGTGTCCAAATGCTTTAGGATCCATCTGCTGAAACATTCTCAAAACAATTGTTAGACATCGGTAATGGAAAAGTTGCTAAGGATGAGACTGGATGCATAAAATTACCGGACGATTTCTGCACAATCATTGATTCACAAGATGCTTATTAACCTAATATTTCCCAATGTACACTACAATACATTCATCATGAGTGGCTGGCAGAAAGAGCGATCTTAGCAGCAAAAAATGTGGACGTCAACGAATTGAATCTGAGGATACAACAGTTATTATCCCATTGAAGCTACAAATTTTCCAACAGAGTTTTTAAACTCATTGGATTTACCATACCACAGCATAATTTAGTACTCAAAGTTGGATCTCCGATTATTTTGCTTCGTAATTTGAACCCACTGCTGCTGTGCAACGGCAAGCGATAAGTCGCTAAAAATTAATGGACAACGTTATCGAAGTCATTATTTTAGATGACAAATTTCGGGGAGAAAGTATATTACTTCCACGAATTCCTATTATACCCACAGATGTGCCAATTCAATTTAAACGCATTTAGTTCCCCATTAGATTGGCATTTGCAATGACAAGGTCAAACAATGTCTGTTTGTGGCTGAGATTTGAGCACACCATGTTTTTCACACGATACGTGGCATGCTCTAGAGTGGGGAAACCATCCAGTTTATTTGTGTTAGCTAAAGATGGAATGACAAAAAATATTGTACTCTCCATTGCACTAAGAGATTAATATTGTTGACTAATATTTTCAGAATTCATTTTATATATAATTTATTTAAAAAAATTAGCATAAATTAAAAAAAATTATTATTTTGTGTGTTGTTATTTTCACATGCCTCTTCCACTCATATACCACATACGCACACACTTACAATAAATATTAGGATATATTTTCATACTCTAGAAATAATTCATATCGCAAAACAACGTTTGCCGGGTCAGCTAGTATATATATATATATTAAAATGATCTATATTAAAATTGATATAGCTGATACACCTTGAAAAAGTATAAATATATTAACTTTAAAAGGTTAAATCTAGCAAACATTAGCTTAACCATTAAAATAAACACCACAAAAGCTTTTCAGCTGAAGAAACCGATCGTATTTCCTCCAATAAAAAACTACTCAACCGAAAGAAAGTATGCCAGCATACTCACTTTAGAATGAGGTAGTACAAATGATTCCCAGGTAAAGCTAAGTCGAAAGACTGGAAAAATTACCTTTGCCTAAGTCTTAAAGAGTAATGATAAGGAGCAGTGCTCACAACAGGATTTTGATCAGATACAACTAAATGAGGGAGTCTTGGTAAACAAATCCTTAAACGGCTAATATTAACTTTAAATGCATCTTGCACTGGGGAATTTAATCTCTTAATTGAGACATGGATGTCATTATGAACTTCAGTTATAATAAATGGGCCCAAAAATTTAGGTTCAAACGTACTTCCAGAATGTAAATAAACAATATCCTTAACATTAAACATCCTATGTTTTGCTTTCTTAAGCTGAATTTCATTTTGTCGTTGTTGTTTTTCCACAT